TTGATCCCTGAGTCAGGAAGATCCCCTGGAGAAAATGGCAATCCACTCCAGTACTCTTGCCTGGAAAATCCCATGGACAGAAGAGCCTGGTAGGCTACAGTCCATGGGGTCACAAAGAGTCAGACTTGACTGAGCAACTTCACTTTCTTTCTTTTCTATGTGCTAGACATGTACGTTATTTCATTTAAATGTTAATTAATTCTCACAATAATCCTATAATGTAGGAGTTACTATTCCTATTTCACTGATAAGAAAACTAAGTCTTGGATTCCCTAGGCTTAAAATTCCCAGGCCATATAGTTAACAAATATTGAAGATGGAATAACGGTAATGGCAGCAGGAGAAAAATGATACTTTGATTGGGGGGGTGGGATTGAAAGACAATGTGAAAATAACACCCCAGTTACATTTGTTGATAATAACAAAAAATCTAGTGCTCTGATCTTGGTTTCCTACATCATTCTTTAAAAAGAACAAGGGTTCCTTGAAGAAATAGACGATTTTAGGTCTGGGACAGGAAATATACAAGATGAGCCTGGAGTACCTTCTAGTGCTAAAAAAAAAAAAAAAAAAATCCAAAACAACAAAAACCTACACGGATGAGGGTATGTCAAAAGGACACAGGGCCAACTAAAAGAGCTCTCAATGTTCAAAGCTGGAACATCTGAACAGTAAAATAACCCAAAGTCCATATTGATATAAATAAATTCAGTTCAGTTCAGTCACTCAGTTGTGTCTGACTCTTTGCAACCTCATGGACTGCAACACGCCAGGCTTTCCTGTCCATCAATAAATTACTGAATAAATATATGGTGGAGAAGAGAAAAATCTCCTGTGCAGATGAATTCCAAACAACGTGTATAAGTATTACATCCTCAAGGAAGGGAGTGTAACTCTTTAGGTGTGGGCTGTGGATAGTGACCTTCTTCTGAACAGTACAGAAGAGAAAGGAGAAGGGGGAAAAGTGACTTCACAGCAGAGAAATCTTACAAGTACCACCTCTGCCAGAGACCAGAGTAACTATCAAGAGTAAAAAGAATCTATGTGATACTATGTAACTTCAATATGAGATGATGAAAATGTCACTTTACTTCTATGGTCCTTCCCTAAAAAGCACTTAATCCTGGTCTAATCATGAGAAAAACATCAAATTCCTACAGAGGGAATCCTACAAAAATATCTGATCAATACTCCTCAAAATTGTCAAGGTCATCAAAAACAAGGAAAGTCTGAGAATCTCTCAGAGCTGAAGGTGACATGAGAACTAAATCTAATAAGGGATCCTGGAACAGAAAAAAAAAAAAAAGGTAAAAACTGAGAAAATCTGAATAATGTATGGGCCTTAATTTATAATGTCTCCCTGGTAGCTCAGATGGTAAAGAATCTGCCTGCAGTGCAGGAGACCCCAGTTTGATTGCTGGGTCGGGAAGATCCGCTGGAGAAGGGACAGGCTACCAACTCCAGGATTCTTGGGCTTCCCTGGAGGCTCAGCTGATGAAGAATCCGCCTGCAATGCAGGAAATCTGGGTTCGATCCATGGGTTGGAATATTGGTTCATTAATTGCAATAATGATCTCATACTAATGTATGATGTTAATAACGGGAAACTGAGTTTAAGGTATATGGGAATTGTATCATTTTCTCAATTTTTCTATAAATCTAAAACTGCTCTAAAAAATAGTCTATTTAAAATTTAAAAAGGGAGAAAGAAAGAGAAATGATGTAATAAGTACATCTTAGGTTGGCTAGAACAATGGTGCCTTTAGCAGAAATAAGGAAGGAAAAACTGATAATGATTTTGGTCAGACTTGACTTAAGGTGTGACAGTATATCCAAGAATAAAAGCTAATCCCCAAACAATTAGAAAAGAGAACTGACAACCCAGGAGAGAAGTTGGTGCTAGAAAGAAGCCACTGTAAAGACTTAAGGAACAGGGAACGTCCTGGCAGGCCAGTGGTTAGGAGATTCATTCGGCACTTTCACTGCTGTGACCTGGGTTCAATCCCTGGTCAGGGAACTAAGATTCCGAAAGCCATGAGGCCAAAAAAGAAAAAAAAATTAAGGAACAAGTAAGCAGTAAGGAAATGGAAATAGTATGTGTGAACCTGATATTCAAATCAGGCTATGAACAGGAAGGAAACAGAAATAACAGACCTCAACTTCTCAATGGAGTAGAAAGTGAGGCCATTTGCCACAAGGAGAAGGAAGGTCACACAGAGCTGAGAAAGGCAGGGCAAACAGCCACGTTAGGGTGTGAGCATATGGAGAAAGAAGAACTGGATGCACCTTCCCTGGTGAGCCAGGCGCTAAGACTGCGCTCCTAAGGCCGAAGGCCCAGGTTTGATCCCTGGTCAGGAAACTAGAACCCACGTGCTGCCACTAAGAGTCTGCATGCCACAACTAAAGACAAGGAGCAGCCAAATAAATTTAAAAAAATTTTTTAAATAGAAAGAAGAATTGGAGAAAATCCATGACCTTGACAGAAGTTAGCATTAGTTATATTATACCGAATGTGCTACAGTCCATGCCTTTTCCCTAGCCATGCGCTGTGGCCTAGAAGCAGAAGCCAAGAAAAAATGTGATGGGTGTGATTCAAGATAACAGAAGTGCTTGGTTAGTACAGAAGATCAAAATGAGTGAAGAAAGCAAAGAGGGTAGTGACTGGTCAAAGAGGCCCAGCGGGGCAGCGTCACAAGTAGTCACAAGGGAGACCTCCCCGGTGGCGCGGTGGATGAGTCCGTCTGCCAGCGCGAGGGGCAGCTGCTGGGTCCCCGGTTCAGGAAAACGCCACGCGATGGCCAGCAACCAAGCGCGCGTGCCCCACTCCAGAGCCCGGGCGCGGCCAGCCACTGACGCCTGTGCGCGCAGACCTGTGCTCCACCACAAAGAGAAGCCGGAGCACCGAAGAGGGGCCCCTGCTCCCAGCTAGAGAACGCCATGTGCAACAACACAGACCCAGCTCAACCAAAAATTAGTTAACTTTTCAAAAACTGAAAAAAGAAACAGCAGTCATGAACGTGCTGGTAGACTCAATGAAATGAAATGGAAACGAGGCCGAGGACCAGAGAAACTGAGGGGGGCGAAAAGCTGGCTCTCTGGGCTTGTGGAAGCAAAGAAGGCGACCGAGTAAGGAAGCTGAAACAAGTGATGGGGAGCTCTGTCGTGGTGGTGGTCTGTGAGGCAGGATATGTAGTTGGTCCAGACTGCAGTGGTTCTGATGTGTAGCTGGCTTGAAAATTCAAAGGAAAATCAATAATCCCACGTTGAGGAATTATAAAAGTATTGCAGGGACTTCCCTGTTGGTCTAGGGGTTAAAAGTCCGCCTTGCAATGCAGAGGACACAGGTTCAATCCCTGGTAGGGGAACTAAGTCTGCGTGACCCAAAGGAAGATTTCACATGACACAACAAAAACCCCCTGTGTGGACGCGGCCAAAGAAATAATAGATATGCATCCTTAAGTATCCCACAGATGCCGAGTGGAGACACTGAGAGACGAATGAAGGACCTGATACATCTTGTCCTTGCGGGCAGCCGACGTTGGCCCTGAAGTTTTAGAGAAAATGCCACAATTACATGGCAACATCTTCCAGAATTACAGTGACAGTGGTAGATCAATGACCTGGAAGCAGCAAGGGAAAGCAAAAAAGCAGTGCGACTCCTTCTCTTCTACACAGTCACATGAGAACAGAAGATAGCTCTTGGGAGGGTAAGGTGAGATGTCATATCTGAATTTTCATTAAATCAGTTTAAAGAAAACAGTAAGTAGAAATGTACTGCACAATGAGTAATATTTTCAAAGCACACACCAAAAGAGGCAAATTGAAGAAGTACCTACTACGTAGAGAGCAAGAGAAGTTGTACCACTTTGAAAGGTGATGTTGCAGAGAAGTAGCAGAGACTTGGGTTGTCATTAGATACCATATTAGAGGTGGGTTGAGAAGTAACATGGAAAACAAGAAAAGCAAGAGGCATAAAAGGTATATTTTAAAACAGACTGCATGTACCAAAGTACACACACACACTCACTTCTATAGAATACAAATACACAATGAGGACTACAAAAAACAGTAACTCCTTGCCTTGCACAGCATTTTATAAATCGCTTTCACATATACTATCTTATTCGACTGTCACTGAATAGATATGCACATTTTTCCTAAAGATGAGGAAATTAGAATAGGGCACAGCCAAAATGAAAATCTTGATTCCCAGTTTTCAACATATCAACCTCACCTACACAGCAGACACTTCAGCATCTCAATCAGCCAGGTTGGAAAATCTTCTCTGATCACAAGAAATAGTGGGTTCTATAAACTTGTCAGAGGACTTCAGAGGCCACTAGACCCCTTCTCGTTTACCTTCTACCACCTCAGATCCCTCAACTCTTATCACCATCACCAGAGAAGGTACCGAAGGGTGACGGGTGGCGTCATCAAGGAGAGAACTCCAGCTGAAAGTTGTATTAGGTTCCTCTTCCCCTCACACCTCTGGACCTCAGTGACCCAACAACTAAGATAAGGAAGAGTGGAAAAAGAACTATGTAGCAGTAAGGAGGTCTCCAACAGATACATCTTCGACAAACAGTATTTAAACGGGGCTCCGGCAGGCTAGAAAGCAGGTACACTGAGAAATGGGGGAGGGGAAGGGGGGGGATCAGGAATTGGAGGGAATTGAGAGTGCAGGCGCCCCCAGGGCTGAAGAACCCAAGAGATATGGGAGCTCCAACTGCTGGGAAAAGCCAAGGGCCCGTGAGGGTCCTGCATCAAGGACCAGCACCGAAGGACCCCAGGGCTTGGGTGACCGGAAGCGGAGACCCCCAAACAGGAGACCAGAAGGGGGCGCAGGTGACACCCCCGTAGGAGAGAATGAATGGGGAAGGCGGTCCGGAGGGCGGGGCAAAGGAGGGGCCCCGGTATGGGCGGGGCACAGACCCCTTTCTAAGTCCGAACCCCTGCCCCGAGAGCCCGGGGAGAAGCGGCTCCGCGACTCCCGCACTCACCGCCGGTCTCGTCAGTTACATAGGGAGTCGCCATCTTGAAAACGCAAACCACTTCCGGCGTGAGCGGGCTGGGGTCCCGCCCCCCTCCCCACCGGAAGTGGAGTCCAGATCGTAGCAAGCCACCATTTTAGTCTTAAAGGGAGAGTACACCATTTGGTGAACAGAAGTGAAGGAGGCGGGAAGAAGCTGAAGACTAAAATAAAATAAGAGCCGTAGCCTCTTTTACTGCCATTGATGCCAGTAGTGAGCGCCTGCTGCGTATATAGCAGTTCTCTGAGCGCCGAGAGGAATTCCGAGGCACAGCCCCTACCCTCGCAGGCAGTCTTCGTCTGTCTAGGACCTGCGGGAGAAAAGGGGGCAAGGCCCACCTGCCTCCAGAAGGCGGGGGAGGGGGAAGGCTAGTAAACGAGGAAAAGAAGGATAGTCAGGTCCTGGCCTGCGCCCAGGTTCCAGAGCCGCCTGGGGATACGGGGCGGGGGAGGCAAGCTCCGGGAACGCACCGGCGCGCACCAGTGTTGGGGGCGAACGCAAGACCCCAACTGACCCTCTCAGAAGGTGGGGAGGTAGAAATCGCGCGCCGATTGCCCTTGGCCGCTCAGCTCAACCCTCCCGAGAGAGACGCGCGAGAGGGACGTGCAAGGCCGAGGGCGCTGCCTGTCGGTCATTTGTCCCCGCAGCTACAGGGTTGCCGGCGACTTATACGGCTGAGAAGGCGCGGCGGGCGGGTGGGGCGGACAGCCCGGACCTGGCCCTGCCCCTGGGGCGGCCCCAGGGACTCGGGCGGCGAAGTGACGACGGCCCAAGTTTGCTCAGACCTTCGACCCGGGAGCCTCCTCGGGCTCGCCCCAGGGTCAGAGGATGAGGTGAAGGCTGCTGGGCGGACCCAATTAGTAGTCTAATTAACCTCGGCCAAGTCTCATTGCTCTGGGGATCCAACTCCGGGCAAAACGCCAATAATCTGAGCTGTACGGTCACTCCCTTTGCAGCCCTGCCCGGCCCCGGGTCTGCCTTTTCTTTAGGAACCCAAATGTTCTCCCTCCCCCGCTGTTTTCGGCAGCTCATGTTCCTTCTGGTCTGAGTCCTGCTAAACTCGTTTCCCCCGCAGCTTGGGAGGGGCCGGCTACAGGTTCCCCTCCTCTGCTCAGGTGTCTGCCCTGCCCTCCCCCACCCGCCGTGTGTTTTTTCCTCATCAACAGTTTTATCTTCCTCCAGATACCGACTTGGGCCTAGGTTAATGTCCAACAGAAAAAGTGACCACCTCCAACACTAGGCTGCATGTCCCACTTAAAAAAAAAAAAACCCAGCTGAGAGCAGTGGCTGACTAGGAATTTACTAAAGCTTTGAAATGAAGCTTCAGAAGTTTTATGGTCACAGCTTGCCTTCTCTCACATACTCCACCTTCCTGACTTCCACCAGAGGCCCAGCTCAGAAAATCTCAAAAAAAGACTCGTGTAAAAACTGATATGCATTCAACACATAGTCATTGCAAGTGTTCCAACAATGCCGTCCTTAACCCTTGCTCTTCTTTCACCGACCGTGCTTCAGCCCTGCGGGATCTCCTTTCCATAACCCTGTTACTAACGATTAAAGGTAAGAGTGAGATGAAGTCTGTTAAAAACTAGAGGAATGCATTGTTCCTGCCTGCACTATCTGAGGGGTACTTTCTGCAAGAATCAGTCCTAAAGTGGCTGCAGCTGACCACCCAACCCTAGGCCCCCCACTGTGCCCTCAGACATCCTGTCTCAGCTCTGGGACTGACAGGAAGTGAAACTCACTTGTCTGCATAGCAGACCTGCCTGGGACCCAGCCCTGAACCCCGGATGTGCCACCTCCCCCGCCCCCCACCCCCCCCCCAGGAGGAAGAAGAGAACGGAGAGGCTGGGGAGAACAAGGCTGTTGTTTTTTCCTTTCCCTTTGTTCGTTGCGGTTTCTTTCTTTCTGATTTTTATGATGTGGTTGATTAAAGAAATGAGCACCTGGAGCTGTAGGCATCAGAAGCCTCCTCCTTAGATGTTTCTTGGCCTTTCTTCCTCTCACCCCCACCAGTAAGTTACTGGGGTATGATGGAGCACAGATCTTGAAGACAACTCAAGCCCAGAGTATAATCGATTCCATCTTGTTCCTTATTAGAGGCGTCATCTCATGCCCCACTTTGAAGTCTCAAAAAAATGTCTTAAAAGGAGTATCTTTAACTTCGTGTAGGAGCATAGCTGAGCATGACAGTGAAAAACAGACGTACATAGGGTGCCAGCACTACCAATGTTACTTGCGAGGAAAGCTGGGCTCCTTGAGGATTAGTATCATGCCAGGATTCCTAGGTGAGGGGCGCAGGGGCATAGAGCTTACTGGAAGAGGGGCTGGGGGCCTGTTCCTACATCATTCAGGATGGCGGACACACACACCCATACTCTGGGGCAGTCCCTAAGCTGGGCTATCGATGTCTTTGGCTGTCCTGCAAAACAAAGTACCGGACCTGATGTATAATAATCCTTCAAAAGTGCTTACGATTCCATGACTAAGGAGACGAAGGATAGGGAGTGGCCGGGTTCTTGATTTTTAAGGTTAGAGGGGAGACAGGAGCAGAGAGACAGGCCGTCTCCACTCCCTACCTCAGATCTCCAGTTCAGATGCAACAGTAACACTCCAAACCCCATTACTCAGCAGCTATATTTCTGACAAAAATGGAGGGTTCTCTTCCAAGTCTCAAAAGTCAAGAGCTGCTTAGATCCCTGTTTCCACTAGAGGGCCTCATGTATTCATTCCTTCTCCTCTCCAACCCCCACCAAAAATATGTGTATATTACACGTGTGTATCTGTGTACTTACACGCGCAACACACACACAACACCCAAATACACCCTTCCAATCAGAGCTCCCCCCTCCCCACTCTCTACTACCAGGTGTAAAAGGGAAGATTCCAGGAACTCAAGCCTTTGTCACTGAGTCCTATTTCAATGAAGGGTAGGAGGGGGTTAGACGGGGGTTGGGGCGGGGCCAGGGAGCTGGATGCCTGGGTCCTCAGTTCCTACCAGAGAGTCCCTAGGCCTCTGTCTTTCTCCCCTGCCCTACCAGCCTCACCGCCATCCATGCTGCCCCAAGAGCCTTAACTCGGAGCAGATTCCAGACAGGAGAAGCTGAAAAGATCTCCTTTCACCCCGACTTTTGACCAGGGCCTCCACACCACCTGCCAAGGCCAGCAGGTAAAGCGAGAGGGTTAGGGCACCAAGAAAGGGTGGACACAGGAAAATGCTCTTTGCACCTGAACCTTGACCCCAGAATTAAGAGAGGAATCTGAGTCTTGAGAGGAATTGTTCTTAGCCTGGGGAAAACAAATCTGAGACAGCTGGGGATTGGGTTTAACAGAGGCGAGAAAACTGGAGGCAAAGGTGGGCAGGTTATCTCAAACGGTGTCAAGCAGTGTGGAGCCCGCGGTGGCAGGGAAGTGTTTGGTCAGAGGATGTGCAGTTTGGCACTCTGGCCTTGCTGCTGAGGCATCTCCTGAGTATAAATTCAATCCATGGTGGACGGAAAGGACTTGGGAAGGGAGGTCCCCTGATGGCAGCATTTAGGAGAGGGTGAGAGGTGGCTGGGTGGGCAACTGCCACGCTGTCTTAAAAGCGGGCTCCCCCTCCCCTTCCCACGTATCTTCGCCTCCCTGGGTTGGGGTTCGGGGACAGGGTGTAAGTTACTGGACAGAGAGAAACAGAGCTGTTGCCGGGGCGGGAAGATGAGCAGCGCTGGAATGTGGAGAAAGTGGCACAGACCAGAGCCCTGGAGATCTGGGGATCGGGGGAGGAGGAAAGCGGGTCTGGTGAACAAGAAGTTCCCCGAGCTGGGGGCGCTGGGCGCCGGCTGGCGGGCGGGCGGGCCGGCCGGGGTGGGGGGCGGGCAGCTGTGTCGTCAGGAGCGGGGCGGCCCCGCGGCGGCCGCGCCTGCCTGGCCCGTCCCCTCCAGCCCCGCACGAGCTCCAGCTCCCGCGCCGGCGCTCCAGCTCCGACCGCGCGCCCTCCGCATGCAAGGTAGAGACCCCGCGAGCCCCGCGCCGCCTCCCACCCTCCCGCACTCGAGCGGCTCGGGGCGGAGGCCGCGGGAGGGGGCGCCCCACGGGCTGGGGTAGGGCTGCTGGGCCGAGAAGGAGGAAGCGTGACAGCTGGAGTGGGTAGCTAGAAAGGTTTGCGCCAGGAGCCGGGGGCAGCAGGAGGGTTGGCCCAGAACCCCATAGGCAGCGTTTTCCCCATGCCTTCCCCTCCGTCTCTCCGATCCCTGATCACGCGGACGGATGCTGAAGCTGGCTCTTAGGGACCCGAGTCGGAGTAAAGTCCGCTTTGGAACCTCCACAGCGCTGCACGGGTGGAGAAGGGTACTTGTTTGGCCTCCTGGTGCCCAACTTCCCACCCCTCTCCTTTCTACACCTGTCAGCGGGAAGTTTCTGAAACTACCTGGGTCTGAATCCCACTTTTCACCTTTAAATTGGGAAAATGAGGTTTACGGAGGAAAGCATGCAAATATTACCGGGCATCTTCCCAACCTCCTAACCACATGAACCCACATCCCCCAACCATGCCAACATTGTAACTTCCTCCTGTACTATACAGCGACACTCCCCCCGCCCCACAGAAATAGCACCCCATTAATCAGACAACACTACCGTCTGCGATGTTTGTGGAAGCTTAACAAATTTTAAGGCTTCAAGCCAAATGATTCCCTCTGAGGGGCCACTGATAGCAAGGATGGGCAGGAAAGAAGCGACCCTCCCTTAATCCTCACAAAGAGGAGGGGGATGCAAGCCCTGGAATGGCTAAGGGATTCCGAAGTTCAGGTCATCTGTTCTGTGTGGTCAAAGAGGGGTGCCTGCCCCTTGAGGTTCCTTGCTGATCAGCCTGAGTATTCTGGGGACATAGCTGCTTCTTAGGTAGTGGTAAACCTACATGACTTGGAATGTGAGCCGTGAGTGTTGAAGTGAAAAAGAAACTTTAAGTGTTAGCACAGGCTTTGGAAATCATATTTATCTCTCGGTTACCAGCAATTTTGGTAC